AAGCACCGGCAAAGCCTCAAGAACCAAACTTGGCAGAGACAGCAGCTAAACAACAGACAGGAGCCAAGATTAACACACAGGAAAGTACTGCAAAGAAAGCAAAAACAAAAGCAACAAAGCCAGCGGCAAAGCAGAAAGCACCAAAACCGGCAGAGGAACCGGCTGATCAAGACTGGAATGATACAGTAGCAACCTTGATGGCAGAGCTTGCAAACGCAAAAACACAAACCATGCAGAAGGGCGATACAAGCAGTTCCCTTGCCACACTCAAGCTGCAAGAACAAATCGGTGCAGTTACCGCCCGCTGCTGTGGTGTCAGCTGCTGCAATTTGCTTTGACGTATCGGAGGAGCCCCCAAAAGCCGCTGAAGCTGCTGAGCTAGCTGCTGCGTGACCAGCAGGGACCAGTGCCAAGCAACTGATAGAACCAAAGAATGCCAAACAAAAGGAATTGTTCAAACACGCGGACTTGATCGTTCCTGGAATCGCTCTCAAAAAGTTCAAGATGGCACTCTCCAAAGATGATGCATCGGCAAACATGTTGGCTTTTCTAGCACAACGGAAGGCCACGATGTACAAGACTGATCGGACCGCTCTTTGCTCAATGGTTATGGGCGACGTGGTCAACACTCCAGAGCAATTTTGGTCAGCTGTTGCCACTTGCTTCAAGGGGCAAACAGGGTGTGCATTGGTGGTTTCCAGTCAAATATTCTTTTCACTGGACAAAGCGCCTGAATAAAACGAACAAGCCTGTTAGTTTTTTTGTTTTTATTTTTTTTTGGGGGGGCGGGCTAACATAGACATCAAACATGGTGTACAAAGCTTGACAAGAGTTTGGCTCAAGTTGTTGTTCTGCTGAGGTGCTTGATGATCTCCCACTTTCTGTGTCTACAAACAAGAAGCTGTATGTCTTCGAGGTGCCAGACCTGGGATCCTTGGGGACGAGCGAATCGGACTACAGCAACGTCGTGGTGAGAATGTTTGAGATGGCAACCAGTTCATTGCAAGCGTCTGATGCAAACATTGCCTACTTTTCCACGGGAAAGCTAGGCACCCTGGTTGGCGGCTTGCTCAATGTTGCTGACTTTCGCTGGCCGATGAGCAAGGAAGACGTCCAATTTGCCCACAAGGAGATGATTCAGAACTTGCTGACCAAAAAAAGGACTGGGTGGGCTAAACATGGACTGCGACATGGCAACTGTTTTCATGTTGTCTGGGATCTTGTTTTATTTGGTCGGTATATATAAGATATAAGTCTGTAATATTATTTATGTATAGTAGTCTAGTCTAGGCCAAGTGCTGCTTGACCCCAGGAAAGCCATGGAAGACAGGAATGCGGAAGTTCAGAAGCGACAAAGTGTGTGGAACTCTGTCCAGCAAAATTTTGAAGCACGGGAGGCTGTGAACAGGGAGAAAAGCGCAATGTACGAGAAGCACCTCAAGATTTGGCAGAAGATAGTGCAGTACACGACTTGTGTCCACACACATGGAAGCCAGAAGCCCCCAGGTGCCACGTGGAAAGATTTTTGGGTTCAGGGCCTTGGTGCTGAATGTGCAGGCGCTGAGTTTCCCATGATTTTTCATCAGAATGAAGAGGTTCTTCCATTCTGTGAACTGCTCACCAAGCTGATGGAGCATGTCGGAACTTTGCACACAGAAACCAAAAAGTTCCAATCACGGACCTTGAAGTTGTCAGACAGAACAAGAAAGAGAAAACAACAGCACGATCGTCGACTGGACAGGGTTCAAAAGAAATTTCAGAAAACAATGGGCACTGATGATGAAGCAAAGAAAGAGGCCATGAAGAAACGGAGGAGGCAACTCTACCATATCAAGCGCCGTGACACTCTGCCCAAGTCCAAGAAAAGAGCTGGTCTCAAGAAGGTGGCTGAAGAGCATGTGGCTGCACCGCCCGACAAGCCCCGGAGACTGATATTCATCAGCGACAAAATGAGGGTGGTGAGGTTCTACCAGCAGCTTGTCAAGGAGAAGGAGGCTGCGTCCAAGATCTTGGCAAAGCAAATGTCCTCCTGTGTGACCTGGTCTGAACGAGAGCAGCTCCGCGACCAAAAGAAGGATGCCAAGAAGATTTGCCGGAGAAACTTGCAGGACGTTTGCCGTCGCACCTTTCCTGATATAGTCGGGAAAGCTCAAGTCAGGAAATGGGTCCTGACCGCTGAGATTGAAGGGTGGGCTGATCTTCCACAGCAGCTACAGGCTTCATCAGTGTCCACTTCAAATGGATGGAGGCAGAAGTATGGGGCAAAGCTCAAGGGCAGAGGAGGAGAGTCTGGATCGGTACCCATGTCCATCATGCGCGAACTGGACCAGCTACTAATGAAGCACAGTCAGGGCTACTCTGAGGTCAGCGAACGGCGTGAAATTGTCACTGTGGACCACATCGTATCCTGGCTCAAGAATAGCGGTGCTAACATGGACTTGCGCCTAGACACACCTCCCATGTGGAATTCTCTGTAGCTGATACAGTCCGGTTTGAGAAAAACACAACAATTACTGCAACATAAACATAGATTGTGATCGCTGGATCTGTTCTTAGTTGGATGTGGGTCGCACTGGGTTGCACCTGACCTTTTACATTGACCAACCAAGGTGGCAACAGCAGCTGGTTTGGTCAACGATTGGAATTCCTGCTTGGAAGAGATGACGGAGGAGATAAAGAATCAGAATGAGCAAATGTTGTCCAAATCGCACGAAGCAGCAATGGCTGGACTGACTGCATTGCCAAAGCCATTGAAAGTACCAAGTGCTAGCTGGTGCCGAATGTTCCAAAAGAATTGGGGCTGGAGCCTGCTGTCTGCTGGCTCAGAGGCCCAAGCCTACTTGCCATACGACCACGTGGACATGGTGATGAGCAGAAACCATGTAAAAGACCTCTTCACCACTCAGGGCGTTCACCCAGGTCTACTGCTGAACTTCGATCAAGTGTGGCGTCAAGCATTCAGTCACAATGCAAAGTTGAGGTTTAAGCCAAGGCATCTGGCTGGAGTGAAAGCAAGCAAGACCCGTCCAAACAAGCACAGCGACAAAAAGATCCATCACATTCGCGGATCACGCAGATCCATTACAGCCCCTCGACGAGTTACAATGAGTTACATGTGTGTTGGTTTCTGCACGCCTAGAACTAACACGTTGTATGCTTAGGGTGCCATGTCCATGTTAACTTTGGGTGTATTGACACAGTTCATCGTTTGGGTTCACTTTGGTGAAAGCTAAGCCTGTCCACCTTTTACATAGACTGTGGCGATGGCATACCTCCATGTTGATTGGATTGGTGGACTTGATTTGACTCCAAGGTCCTGACAAGTTCTTGGTCGGACGGCAGCAAAGGCCCGCTGGCCTTCTGCATCCCAGAAGGGGCCATGACTGCACAAGAAATACAGAAATGGAACCAGGAGCACGAGGGCATCTCCATGGTGCTGTCATCGGGCGGCAAAAGCCACTTCATGTGTGCAGACACTTTGCTGCAAGTCTACGAACAGCTCTACTCTGGGGCACTGGCTCGACAGAGGGCGAAGCCACTGGAACGAAGTTATAGTTGTATTTTGTTTGTTTGACATGACCTCTGTCTTTTTGTCGGAGTGCGGCATTTTATCATAAACAGTCACAGTGAGATGTGCCAGAGGTTTGGCCTGGACATCAACGACGAGTCTGCTCTGTGTGGGTTCATCTGTGATGCATGGACGGGTACCTACGCGGAATCACGTGGAGAGGCACCCCGCAGGACTGGGTACTTGAATCGCAGATATAATCCACGTTTACACTAAGTCACTAAGTGTTGCACTGACCTGTGTGGTTGGTATGGATAGTGGTCTGGACTACAAATCATTGTTGTGCATTGATATGGATATGATAGTTGTTCAGAGTCCATGTTAAATACTCCAGGAATGCCTTCTACACGAGCCATCGGGTGCTTCCACCCAGGAAGCAGCCCGGTGGGTGGAGCAGTCATGGACAGCCCGTGGATCAGTTGCATGGTTGCTTTCGACGTGAAATTCGCGCCAGAGATGTTGCTGCCGCTGGAATGTATTCAGATTTGAGGACCCGCCCAGAATTCCACGAGCTTGATGTTCGACCATCAGGGCAGCTGTCCTACGCTGTCAGAAGCTGGGGTGAGATCCTTCAGCTCACTCTGGATGCCTGGAATAGCTTGGATCCTAAGGTTCACCAAGCTGCATGGCTCGCATGCGGTTACATGGATCCAGACCACTTCCGTCAGTTCACCAGCGGTGACTTCACCCCGTTGGAGATGAAAGAAGTGAAGGCGACTCTGTCTGATGCGTTTGGTGACATGGGCTTCTCAAGCAGTCCTCAACGGTGCACACAGCTGGAATGGCAGGTTCAGGAGACGGGTTCAAAACAACTGAAAGGTTTGCTTCTGTGTTGGAGTCTATCCACTATTCAAAGACCATGTGTTGTGTCTTGATAATTGTTGGTGAGGATGAAACCGAGACTTGGCTTGCTTTGCCTTATGAGATTGCCTCAGCATTTGTGCGCACTCTCATGCTTCACATTCAGAAGCTGAAGGAAGCATACACCACTTGGCAAGAGTCCGGGACAAAGAAAGCCGAAGATGCCTACGTGAGCCTGAAAGAAGTGCAGAGGTACATTGCTTCTTGTTTTTGTTAACATGGCTCGTTTCCTTTGTCAATTTGGTGTGTGGAGATAGGTCTCTGCTGAAGAAGCAACATGTGTTCAGTTGTTGCTGTAAGGGCCATGTTAATTGTGTAGAGTTGGAAGCTTCAAACTCCCAAACCTGTTCGTGGATTCTGTGGCAAGTTTGAGGTTCTCAACCACAAGACCGGCCAAATGGCCACACAGGAATGGCTGGCCAAAAACGTGGCCGTGTCAGACGGGGTGCCTACTTTCAAGACGAAGAGCAAAGGAACGATCATGACTTTGGGTTTCAGGGTGCTGGGGTCTGATGTTGACCTGACACTGCGACTTGGTGCTGGGAAGCCTGCGCTTAAAGTCCGATGCTTTGAGTTCAAGACGGGCCTGGTTTCTACTAAGATGGCAAGCTTGTATGATGGGTACAGCCACTTTGTTTCAGACTTTGAGTCGCAGCAAGGCAGTGATGCTGCTGATGATGAAAGCAGCGACGACATGATCTATGATTCCCACGGGCTTGAAGGTCTGGAAGTTCAAGAAAAGTCTCACGATTTGGACATGTCTGCATGTCTTGTGCTGCGATCCATGATAAATGTGTTTACATATATACACACATCCTGTAAGGCATAAAATAAATATAAGCCCAACAATGCCACTGCTGTTGTTTTCGTGGTGGAGGTCTGTGCCAGCGCGGTCCATGTTAAGTGTAGCTCGCCTTTGTTGTCAGGACAGGCATTGCTACAGGCTGCTGAAGAACAAGCTGACCCAGCTCCTGCCCCAACCTCATGGATGATGACGATGAGGATCATGCGTCCGACGTGGACATTAGTTTGGTGGATCCAGACAACTTTGTGACCATGGTGGGACCAAAGAGTAGTGAAGACACCAAAGTCAAGACTCATGTTCCTCCATGTTTTTTCGAGCGGGAAGCTTATCGTCATCTCTCTGAAGAAGGGCTCACCGATATTCCTCCGGGATTTCAGCTGTCTTATCATTCATCCACTAGTCAGTGGCATGGAAGGGCAACCGACGGCTTGCATAACTTTGCTCCGACATGGGGATCCCTTCGCTCGGAGTCTATGTCTCTTTTGATGGTGCTGGAGCGCTTGTGGACGAAGCACCTTGAGAAGTACCCTGAGGATGAGCATGGCGTGACATACCTAGACTTAATTCGAGAGAAAATGAAAGAGGTCAATTTTTGACCATGCAAGATGTCAAGAGTTTGGAATCCATGTTTAGGAGGTCAAGTTTTGACCACGCAAGATGGCAAGAGCCTATAATCGTGTCACACTAGAGTACAGTTTGATTGTGTCATCACAGGACCACGCATACACACACCTGCACTTTGGCAGCTGTTTGACGTCCATGTTAGCTAGGCAGGTTGCGTCAGCAATTTTGGTTGGCGTGTTCATAGCGTATAACCGTATAGCGTAGCTATGTCCCGGCTTTGTTGCTAGATAAGAGCTGCAGTCGACGTGGTCATGGCACAGTTTCAACATACCAATGACGCTCTGGGGAGGGTCAAAAAGAGATGCCGCAGCATGCCTTGACCTTTTTTTAACATGTGCTGTGCCAGATCGAGGTGCGATCACTGGGTTTTCCCTAGGGAATACACAGAGCAGTGAGCAACTCTGGCGCTGCTCACGTTAAAAAACACAACCATTTTTGCGCAGTCCATGTTGGGTGCATGGCTGTACGAACAGTCCACGTTAGCAGTTGGGGCCAAGCATATGCATGTCCATGATAGTCTGTGGAAGTGTAAGCAGTAACTCGATCCGAGAGTCGCGGAGGCTTCAAGTCCAAGAAGGGTTGTGCTGTGGGAATCTCTTCTCAAGTCCTCAGGCTTTCCAGACACGGGTGTTGTTGACCTGGTGAAGCAGGGCATCCTGTTGGTAGGCGAGCATTCGTATCCACCGAATTTTCCCAAGGATTCGAGGCCAGCTCTCACTTCCGCCAATCTTCGCTGTGGAGGAGAAAAGCACTGCTTGGAGCCCAGAGTAGAGTGACGCAGAGAATTTAGTGGATGAACTTCACCGAGAGTCCCAGAGATTTTGGAAGAAGTTGGCCAGGGGTTTCTTGAAGGACCTTTCACTGAAGCTCAGATAACCAGCCGCTTCGAAAACAATCAATGGCTCTTGAACAGTCGTTTCGTCTTGCAACAAGGAACCCAGGAGACACCAAAATACCGAGTCGATTGCCGGCAGAGTGGGTTGAACGACGCGTATACATGGATACGTTGGCCTCTGCGCTAGCAGCCATCGCGGAGGCGTGCAAGTCAGGGCGGGTTGATTTGGCAAACAGCTTCCAATTCACCCTGACTCTAGATCTTTGTGTGTGATAGGGTATTGCCGAAGGGGTCGTGGCAGCTGTTCGCCACAGATGTCCTGCCATTCGGCGCTGTGGCTTCTGTCTACGGCTTCAACAGAGTGAGCCGACCCATTCACCGCATCCTGTGTTCCTTTCTTCGGGCTACTTGCATTTGTTTCTATGACGACTTCCCAACTCTCAGTATTGAACCCTTTGCTAGATTGCTAGCCAAAAGTATGTCGCTTGTACTGAATCTTTTGAGATGGAAGCGTGCGCAAGAGGGCGCGAAAGCCCTTGATTTCGGTGCCGACGTCGCTGCGCACGGAGTTGAAGTAGGAGTTGAAAGGCTGCGTGTTGGAATGTTCTCCTTGTGCGACAAAGAGGGGCGGATTGAAAAGATCTGCGCCATGCTCGAAGGCATATCAGGTATAGGGGACGAATAAACAGGCATGAGGCATCGGAAGCGCAAGGGCTTTTGAACTTTGCCTCAAGTTTTTTCGTTTCCAAAGCCT